TGTTTCAGTCTCGAGATACAAATATTGTAAGCCGTAAATTACCTTAAAAACATAAAATTAACTTGAAGCACCTCTAAATCATCACCGATTTTGCTGAAAATTTGCACAGAAGTTCAAATTAACATGACGAACAGTAATCACGGTTGACCCGTTACATTCCGAACATTTCGTTTAAAATGAACAGGTCTAATGTCCATGTCACGGAACTGCGCCACTACTTCGTCCATGTGGTAGACGAAATCGTCTAATAGCAGCTGACCAGTGTGAGGTTCCTCTGGAAAATTACGTAACTGTTCTGGTGCCTTCACTGGCGCTGCGGAGCCGTGTCCCTACTCCGTGGTTGAAGCACTGAATTTTACCAAGCTTTGTCTGACGAGACATCGCTTGTTCTGTCTCAAGTAACAATTTTGGTTTTATTAAAGTTCGGACCTGATCAATTTCTGCTTGCGATAAGAATTGCACAATAATTATTGCTCTCTGACTTGCGAATGCAGATACGCTTTTCGATGTTTATTTGTTTATTGATTTACTTTCCTAATTTAATAAGTATTTCTCCACGGCCTTTAAAAGTGATTTTGGGACAAATATATACTAATATACTTTCTGTTGCAAAGGGCTTATCAAATGTCGTAGTCATGGGAAATACTAACCTAATTACTCCTACAAAAATTTAAACGGCAAAAAAAACTCGACCGTGCATTTTTTTTCCACACCACAAATCCGATCTGCATATGCAAGCAATAATTACGGCAACCGATTACGCTGTCATCCCATTCTCCTGCACTTGCGCATCTCACTTGATATTGCTCATTGATGTTTAACGCCGGTTCCTTTCCCGTTGTTGTCACGAATGCATTTCACTTTTCTTTCTTGCTAGTTGGTAAGTACCGCCAGCCAGCCAGTACGTACATTCATTTTCCCAACGGCGGACGGCGGGCGTGAAGTGCAAATTTGGCAAACGATCAACGATCTTTTTCGTTCATTTTAAATTCGTCTCCACTTGCAGAGAGAACCATTTTCCTGAGACGCAGTTGTTGTGTTTCCGATTTTTCAGAAACGTCGCAAAAAGGTTGCGTTCGCTATTTTCTCGGTAAATTGAGAATTAAAGTGAGAGTGGAATCTTCGAATTAATATGGAGAATTAATCCAGGTCGAACGGGTTCTAATGGCGAAGTCTGTTTGCTTCATTTCCAGTGCCACTTGAGATCGACGACAGTGTTGCCACGATCGGTAGCGCTAACAACACACCCAACAGCAGTCAGGATAATTCGGATGACTTTGTGCTAGTACCAAACAATCTACCGGTAGATCCATGCAGTGGAAATTATGATAAGAGGTTTGTTTTTCGGATGAAAATCCCGGAATTGTGTAGATTTCTAACGTACTTCTAATGAATTTCAGTAAACCAACTAGAGTGCCTCAAACAGCTACAAACGCTCAGGCGAGTCCACCGAGACCCAGCACGCTGCCGATCTCGGAGCCGAAGCCCGTCCCGACGGCAGCTAGAAAGATTTCTCGACAGCAAAGTCAGACGCCACCAAAGGTAAGCTGGTCCTGAACATGCTCTTATAGTTTCGATTTGACCAACAAACTTCAAACTCAACCCCACAGAACATCCCCAATGCAATACCTCGATCTCAGCCGATCAGCATGAAGCGATCCGAGCATCGAAACAGTAATTGTGATATTAGCTCAATATCGCCGCCGGCAGTGCAATTCGCAATCGGTACTCCTCCCACAGGCAGCCGCCGACGATCAACGTCGGGTGGATCTCTGTCGGAAACGCCTCCTCCGCCGTCCTGCTGGACGGTGAGTCCAGCGTCACATCATTCACCTCTGCGTCGCTCCGGCACCAGTTCGCCAGTATTATCAAATGCCCTATCGAAGCTTCCGGCCCTAGGTAGCCCAACGCTGATGACCAACGACAACAACAATACTCATCCGTTGGGAACCAGGGCTTTCACTCTACCGGAAATGGGGGCAACCGCTGGACTGCAGAGTTACTTACATGATAATAATCTGGACGATCATCCGATCAACTTCCATGCACCGGAACTGCCAGCTGAAACGCTGATGGACGTAAGTTCGATCTTCAACCCCTCAGTATACCACCGATATGCCAACCTATCCCATTTCCTTTTGCAGCGCGAACACAATGAAACCCTAGCGAAGCTAAACTTCGTCATCGCCCTAACGGACTGCATCCTAGAGGTGGCGGATTCCCGTTGTGCACCACTGTCGGCACTAATGTCAGCCGATGCTCAACCGATTGCACCGCACGCGCCAGAGCACTGCAAACGAGCCGAACGACTGGTTCTGCTGGTACGGGCTCTGAATCTTCTCTCGTCCGGTATGCATCTGGCGTCGTCCCAACTACAGAGTGGACACCTGAAGCCATCGGACACGGTGAAGAATGGTGGGTTGTTCAATGAATTGAAACGTGCGAAGTGATGGTGATATTAACTAATGAATTAATTTTAGTACTTTCGATGATGCACACGCGATACCGGTCGACTCTGTGCGAATCGAAGAAGCTGAACGGAACGGGACTGCTGCAACGGGCCGGGGCTAGCAATATTACCGCTGATAAGATTCTGTACGACCATGCGATACAAATGGTAAGTCCGTAGATAAGCATTTGCTGAGATAAGTGCTTTAAATCGATGTCCTTTTATGAATTATTAACAAAAAACATAAGGGTTAGAGTGACTTGAGATGGTGCGGATCATTGATCGTACCATAATTGGAACCATTTCTGAAATAATAACTCAACATATTCGCATTACTTTTAAAGGATCAACCGCAGTGTAAAGATCTAGTTGGTCGAAACTCTTTCAAGAATTACCCCATAATAATCTCGAAATTATCTCTGGTATTGCCTTCAAATTTTATGCATAACTCACTCGAAATTCTCTGCAAACCGGAATTCTATCCAGAAATCCCTTGAAGTAAACTCTATAATTCAAAGTGAATGTTAATACAGGGTGTCTACTACCTGGAAAAACCTGGAATATTCAGGGAATTTTGGTTCCACTCAGGGAATTTTCCAATTATCACTTCATTCGTAATTCAAAAGAAGTTTTCGTTCAGTTTGTCGAAACGTTTCTTAAGGGCACTGAACTTGACAAGCATTTGACAGCTAAGACAACGTGTGCGAACGAGACAAGTTCATTCAGAGAGTCTTGTCACGCTCGCTCTTCGCTGATTTGTATGTGGAGGATCAAAATCGTCGTAAAAAGGAAACAGCCGAAAAAGAGAGACTGGCAACCGTCAAAAGGAAGCATACGAAGCATGTATTGTATAAGAATAAGCATGCCAGACAGCAGGTCTGAGAGCCTACATAGAATTTTTTAGAGAGGGTCGGAGATCTACTGAGAAATGTGTTAAGTTTCAGGGTAGTTCGTAGATCTTGAGAATAGAACTACAAACAAATTAAAAGTAATTAATAGAAATTCATAAAAACAAAATCACAAGAGAGGTCGTAGATCTTCAGATCAATGTTCAAAGAAATTTTCAAAACTTCAAGCAAGCAAAAATAATTTCAAATCAATTTGTAAAACTATAAGCGAAATTTTGCAAATCTTCAGGGAAATTCGCATAACTTTAAACAAGTCCAAGAATGTACAGTGATATATAAAGTATTTCATATAAGTTTGGAGATCCTCGAAACATGATTCAACATCAGAAAAGTTCGTAGATCTTCAGAACAAAGCTACAGAACTTTGAAAAAAATTACAGGACTTCTGAAAAAATCACAAGAATCTCAGAAATGTTATTGGATCTTCAGTAAAAATTGCAGAACTTCAGGAAAGTTCGGCAAATCAAAAAAAAAAAAAAATATTTAGACGATTTCAGGAAAATTTGTAGATCTTGATAGAGACATTTAAAACTTCTAGGAAACTCAAATATGTTCAGATTAATTTTGACAACTTTAGGTAATCTTCAAGGAAATTTTCAAATCTTCAGGGTAACCCGAGAAGAATTAACAAAACATCAGAGAAGTTTGCAGATCTACTGAGAAATTTATTGAGCATCAAGTTTTTTTTTTTTTAGATTTTGGGAATAGAGCTACGGAGCTTAAGACAACTTTACAGAACTTTAAAGATATTTGCAGGAATTTGACAGAAAGTTTCACACAAATTGTGAGATCTTCAGAAAAATTCGTTAAATGTCAGAAAAGCACCTCAATTCCAAAAAAAAAAAATAGCAGCGAAGTACAAAAGTACAATATTTTGCAGAACTCCATGGAAGTCGGAAATAGATAGATCTAAAGAACTTCAGAGAAGTCCGTAGACCTTAAGAGAAGTCTGTAGAACGTCAGAAAGTTTGTACGTTTTTAGAAAAAATTGCAATACTTCAGCAAAACTAACAGATCTTCGGGAAAGTTCGCCGATCTTTAGATCAAGAATCCACAAAGAAATTTAAAGAACTTTAGAAAAGTTCGGAGATCTACTGTGAAATTTATTGAACTTCAGGGCAGTTCGTAGATCTTTAGAGCAGAAATACAGTACTTTAGAAAACATTACAGAATTTGAAATAAATTTTAGGAACTTCGGAAAAGTTCAGAGGGTAGATCGTAAATCTACTCAAAAATTAGCAGATGTTTAAATAAATTTTCAGAATTTTACTGCGGTTCTTGGATTTTGAGAGACATTCACAGAACTTCAGGTATATTCGCTGATCTTAAGAGATATTTGCACAGCTTGAGAAAAATTAGAAAAACTTCAGAATACTTCCTAAAATTTCCGAAAAGCTAAAAAATTTCTAGATAATCTTTTAATTCTTTAGAAAATTGTATAGATGTTCAGAGATATTTGCAGATATTCATTGAATCATGAAAATCTGCCGGAAAAATTCCAGAACTTTCGAGAAGTTTGTAGATTATTAGAAATTTTGGGAACATCAGAGATAGTTGTCGATCTTCAAGGATCTTAAATCTTCAGGGATTCAGAACCTTTGTAGATTCTTAGAAAAATTTGCAGAACTTCTGAAGAACACATAGAACTTCAAACAAATCTGTAGAACTACCGAGTAAATTTGAGCAGATTTTTCATTATGGCGGCGGTCAAAATCAGATAGTCTAAACGAACCTTAAGAGATTGTAGACATGTGAAACCATGATTTATACTGTCTTGATCTTCCAAACAGAGTTGGACTCAAACATATTATTAAAATTATATTTTGTTTTTGAAAGCATATTGTTATCAAATTTTGATATATCGTTTTATCGAATAGTATAGACAGGTTTCTTACTTGTATTTATATTCTTGAATTAAAAAAATACTACACAAATACCAAAAAAGCATGTAATATTGATTGACGTAATGCATGCTACTGTATGAATAACTAATGTGATTGCAAAAACCAAGTACAATATTACACCCATGGATATAATTTCTTTTCGCAAATTATGTGTAGGATAAATGCACCAATAGTGGAAGTACTTTAGTGCAATGTGTTCCTATGGTGGCTTATAGAGTCTCCCTAAGCCGCTGTAGAAGTACATTGTACTAACGTATTGGTGCATTTACTAAACATAAATTGTACAAATTAATATTAAACAACCTATGTGCATCTGTTCTGCTGTAATATTCAATAACTTTTTTGCTGTGCCGAGTTAAAAGTACCAACGCCCAAGTTTGAAGAATCGAAAATAACATAAATCAATAAGTACATAAAAGGGATTCCAGATGGATAAATAGATAAAATAATAATGTGTATAATTTGTATGCACCTGGAATTTTTTTCATCCGACCTGTAAAAACCTGGAAAACTCAGGGAATTTGATTCCTTTGATTGAGTAGACACCCTTTAATAGCTCATTACAGCCTCCACACGCTTCCGGAATGCACGGCAGGTTCTTATAATGTAGTCTGGATCAATTTCTCTCCAGGTACGGGTCAATGTTTGTCTGAAGCTTGCTGTACTCGGGTGGCGTTTAGAAAAGGCCTTGACCTTCATGCCGCGCCATATTGAGTAATCCAGCGGATTAAGATCGGAGTTGGATGGCGGCCACATATCCTTCGCCCAGAACGGAAGATGTTCCTGCAACCACTTCTGAGTGCGGTTCAAGGTGTGGCACGGAGCCCCATCATGTTGAAATACAACATTTGGCTTCGGATCGTACTGTTCTTTGATCCACGGAAGAACATACTTACTTAAAATCCCGATGTAGACCTCGGTGTTGACCTTGTCTCCTTCTGGAATGAACACTGGGTTCATTTTTTGCCATCCATAACGCTAGCAGGATGCTTGGTCAGATACACGTTCTTGTGCTCGTCGGCCACGTCTTTTACCGGAAGAGAACTAATATATCGGTCGGTTCTGGAATTTGATACGGGATCGACGATAAACATGGTCTCGTCGGTGAACGACTCGTTACTCCCGGATTGCGGTTGGTAATCATGTGAGTTTTTTTCCGTGCCCTCGACTTCGTCCCGCAATCTTCCTTTACGATCTTCCGTGCCGTAAAGTCACTGATTCCGTATTCCTTTTGATAGCAGCGATAACCCTCGGAACCCGAGCTGACCTCGGACGACCTGTGGCCACCTTCGCGGATAGTTGTCCTTTCTTTTCTCGGTCTAAAGCCCTTTTGATGGTCCACCGGGACACTCCCACGGCGCTTGAAATGTCTTTTTGCGACATTTGCGCGTGGGACAAATCACGAATACGCTGCCACTTCGTCATGGTGCAACTGTCAAACTAAGTAAATCATTTTCTTTTAAACACAGCCTACTACGGTATGAGCTGTAGGTTACGTGCATGCAAAGAAAACCAAGGCATTGTATGCACAGGTGAAACGGGAACCTTATTTGTACGATGGTGCAAACATTATCACGCATACGGTAGATTAAAAATGTTCCAAAGCTCTTATCTGTCAAAAAACATAACAACATATGGGTCATTCCAGCTCAAGTGGGTACACCTCCTGTGGTCGATGTCACCGATGTGAGCCAAACTTGGCCAAAACGCATATTTTGGCATTCTAAGCAAACGCCTTTTTTGATTTTGCCCTAGATCCCTCCCGGCTACAACCCTGGATATTCGATTTTTTTTTTTTTTAATTTCAACTTTCAGAAGAAATTACTCCACAACCAAATAAGCTATTCGTGATCTTAGAACGTCCATTTGAAGGTTTTTTTTTTAATGTAGATTTTTATAGGTGTAACCACATTTTGTTTTTGTTATAGTAACTACAGTAAACGGGCTGGTTACCGGCAGGTTTCCAAATTGTCAAAAAATGGCCTATTTTCACCATGGGCGAAATTTTTTAATTTCTTAATATTTTGGGCTGAAATTTTCACCACACTTTGGAAAACTGTTCTATTAGATGTGTTTGCAAGGGCAAATTATTTGAACAAATAGTTTTTAAGATATGACCAGATGAGTGAGTGATATTTTTTAGCTTTTCTGGTGGAAAATCAATGCTATTTATTTTTTTTTTCTTAAATTCCTACACGTCGATAGAACAATAATTTTTTTATATTATTTTTCACATGTTCTGGGCAGGATTCTCATTACATGAAATCATAACTAGCTCATTTATTTGCTTCTGTCCATAGTTTAATTGTGGTCCTAAAAGTGAAAAATACGTTGTGCTTTAGAAGGATGATGAAAT